CTTCAATGCGTCGCAGCTTATAGGTCTCATCAGATACAGCTGTGGCCGTGCGCAAATTGTATAAGCGGTTGTAAAAGTCAGCGAACTCCGCTGCTATGTCCGTAGATAGGGACGCTTTTGTCCCAGAGTGGGTTAGAACGTGTGAGACAAAGGGTTTTGACTGTGCACCCCTAAATGCCCTTGCTAGCATCCGCCCCGACTTGTTCGAGAACTCATAAAACGTGCGTCGACATTCAACTAGGAGCCATTTCGAGCATTGAAATAGCAGGGAGTTCAAAGCCTCACAGACCTGGAGCAAGGCGGTCTGGGTGGTCACACCCAGGGACCGCTTATGTTGGGTCTCCAGCAGATGCATACGGTCTAGCAATCTTGTAATCTCACCCGATCTCTCCCTCTTGCGGCGCGCCCCGTGGCCGACGAGAACCACACATATTACGCATTTATGAGCTTCCCAGACTGACAGGGGCTGGGGACAGAAGTGGCGTTGGTGGAAAAGTAAGATCGAATCGCCCCCCTCCACATCTGCTCGGATCCCTGGGTCCTGCAAGATGGACTAATTAAGTCTCCACGAGGATTTAGCATAGGAAGGCAGAAGCAGGTCCAAAGTCAGGTGTATAGGGGGGTGGTCTGACATGATGATATTGTGCATGGATGCTACCAGCAACATAGGTAAATCATTATGTTGAACAAAAAAAAAGTCCAAACGGGAGTAGGTGTGATGGACCTGGGAGAAATAGGTATAGTCCCTATCGCCGGGGTGTAGGAATCGCCACAAGGTGGAGCGCATTCAATTCCTGCTTCAGTAGTTTTCAGATAGGAGTAAGACAAATGCGACAGTCCACGAGAGACATCTAATAGAGCGTCCATCACAAAATTGAAATCCCCTCCCATTATCAAAGACCTCTCCATGAATTCCAGAAGGGAGGAAACCACGGAGCGAAGGAAGGGCAACTGCGCTGAGTTGGATATATAGACGTTTGTCAATGTGACTACCGTCCCTCCCACACGGCCCTTCACTAAAAGATAGCGACCCCCCAGGGTCCTGACGGAGGTCGAGCAAGCACCACGGGACAGACTTAGCCATTAGGATACTCATACCTTTAGATTTTGAAATAGGAGACCTGGCCTCTCCAGAAGGGAGGAAACCACGGAGCGAAGGAAGGGCAACTGCGCTGAGTTGGATATATAGACGTTTGTCAATGTGACTACCGTCCCTCCCACACGGCCCTTCACTAAAAGATAGCGACCCCCCAGGGTCCTGACGGAGGTCGAGCAAGCACCACGGGACAGACTTAGCCATTAGGATACTCATACCTTTAGATTTTGAAACAGGGACCTGGCCTACTTTAAAATGCGTTTCCTGCAAGAAGACCACCTGAGAGCGAGATTTCTTCTGATCCACCAAGAGTCCAGAGCACTTCTCGGGAATATTCAGACCCCGAACATTGAAAGAGGATAATTTAAGCAAGCCCCTCATCATGGACTGGGGCTGGGGATCGCCCGGGAACGGCATGATGAGAAGCGGTATACCAGAGAGGAGAGAGTAGACACAGAGTAGGGGCGGGGAGTCAGAGACAAGAGTAGGCAAGATCACAAGTGGAAAGATCAGACGTAGAAAGACACAGGTGAAACTAGGAAAAGAGGGAAACAGGTGAGGAAATCAACGAACCTGTTCAGGGAAGAGGAAACCAGCAGAAGAACAGGCCCTTAGAGGAAGCACACCAGACCGACCTACATATAGGTCATTAATAGAAGCAATGTGTCTCTGACCCACTATACAGGGCAAGAGACCACCTATTTGGGGGGTGATAGAACAACTACACTGAGGGAGCACAGGATGTGCTTATCAAAAAACAAAAACCATGCAAAGAAAACAGGAGATGTGCCAGGAGTGTCCGGGGAGGCCAGCGCTGGGGAGCCAACAGCTGAAATCCCAGTGGTTGACCCGTCAGAGCGGCAAGACACCCCTCCCCCAAACCCCAGCCAAAACAGGATCACCCATTCACTATGAAAAGGGGATTGCAAATGCAAATGGTAAGATGATCCCCCCCCCCTCCCCCCCACTCGAGCCTCGAGGCATAGCCTCGGAGTAACAGACCAGTGTTCCGTATCGGGGTTCCCACAAATAATCCAGAGCATGTGTGTAAGTACTGGCATTCAAAGGTATAGAAAACTGATATGAAGCAACTTCAGGAACCCGAAAAGGGCAGGGCATGAAACAAAAAATCCCCCCGTTTGTAGGGGCACACAAATCAAAATGTAAAACATATTGAAACATGTCTCGGGCGACCCCTGAGCGCCACACAGGCGGCCGGGCCTGCCTCCCCCGCACAAAAAAGGAGTCCAAAAGGCCCCATCAAGGGAGACAGACCCCGCCACCCAACAGGTCCTTCAAGGGATACCCGAGAACTGCACATTGCTAACATCTTACATGTTCCCGAGGTTGTTAGCAACAATGGTCATAGAAGGAGGCATGGATGGGCAGGGGTACGCCTCCGGCCTGCAGACATCCCGCTGGGCTTGGTGAGTCTGCTCAGGCCTGCCACAGACCGCTAGGTGGGCCTCGGGTCCAGAAATGTGCCCTGCAAGTCCAGCTCAGGGGTATAAGGCACTCACAGTTCGTTGGACTCGAGAGTCCTGGAGTGAACATCAGTGGGGGGACACCTCATCTACACCTGGGGCCACGGGCCGGCCCAGGTGAGAAGGGCCCCCAAGGCGATGACTCCTCGAAGAAGTCCAGCCAATCCAGGACAGGGACCGCAGCCGCATACAGAAAGGCAAAGAGAGCCGGGAGCTGGTCAGGGGTGTGTAACTGGAGAACTCGGTTCCTCCTGTTAACAATATGATGAAAAGGGTGGCCCCAACGATAAGTGGCTTCCGCCATCCTAATTATGTCCAGCATTGGCCGCAGGATCCGGCGCATCCGCAGTGTATGACGGGACAAGTTGGGCATGACCTGTATCCTGGCCCCGTCAAAGTCCAGAAGGCCCCTGTTCCACGCTTGACAGAGGATCTCTTGATGGCATAAAAGTGGACCCGACATAAAACATCCCGTGGGGGACCTGACGGAGAGGCCCGGGATCCCTGGGCTCTATGTACCCTGTCCAGCTCGATGGAGTTGGTAGGCTTATCCAGGTAGTGGTTAAGGACAGCCTGCACAGTGGATCACAGATCAGGGCCATCGTCTCAGGTCGCGAGGTTCTCACAGTGGTTGAGCGCATATAT